ATCCTCCTGCTTCAGCCTCCCAAGTGCTGGGATTACAGGCGTGTATCACCACAGTTCTTTTCAAACCCCATTTGAAGCATATTGCTAGGAGCCAGGGCATAGGAATAGGTGAAACTGGTAAACTTAGGCCACACAGGCTGACGTTCAAAGCAAATCAGAACTGGAGAGGCCACAAAAGATGTCAGGTCCAAATCCTGCAGTGTGTCGATGAAAGACAAACATCCTGAGATGGAAGAAGGCCCCACTGTGGTCGTAGGGAGCAGGTACAGAGCAGGGATCAAAGCCCAGGTCTCCTCACTCACTGCCGCTTACCCCTCCCTGCTTAGCCTGACATCCTTCCAATTATTCTGAAAGTTCCTCCCCATCTGACCTGTCATCTCTCCACTGCCACACCTTCAGCAGGACCCCGAGGCTTTTAATGGCCCAGCAAGGCAGCCAGGATGGTGAAAGAACCAGGGGTTAGCAGAGTCAGGCCCCAGCTCTTCCAGGCAGCTGGCATTTGGCTAGCTGGGGTCTTGTTGGGGAGACAGGAAGCTGACATATAAGGCTATGGAGAGGGGCCCTGGGTACCTGAGGTTTGTCCCAGAGGCTGAGGCCTAGCAGGGCAATGTCTGCCGAGGGCTGGGCAGAGCCCTATGCCACCCTGGCAGCTCTAGCCGGTAGTGGGGTTGACCAAGGGCAGGGAAAGTGCAGGCCCAGGCTCTGGGTCCAAACTAGGATTCCCTAGGTTGGCCGCCCTGGCTCTGAAGGCTCTTCTGTGTCCTGCCTTGGAAGTGGTAGGGGTACAGCCTCCTGGCATGGGGGTGGGGAGAGAGCCAGGCGTCAGGGAGCCGGCCACTTTGAGCAGGCTAGACGGCAAGGGGATCAGATTTCATCCCAGCTGTATTTTTGGCTGGATGGGCTGGGGGCCCAGCTGGGCAGGCGCAGCTGCCCCAGAGGGGGACACCCCCTCCCCAACACACACGCGCACACTACCTCTACCCAGACAGGCCACCATTCCCTGCTGCCTCACCCTGCAGGCAGAGGGAGTCCGGTGGTCCTGGGCTAGTGAATCACTTTGGGCTTCTCTGAGCCTTGGATGAGCTTCTGTAGGGTCTTCTTGATGCGAAGAGCGGTGAGGCGGGCAGAGGGGTTAGGGTACCAGCACTCCTGCATCATCTGAGCCAGGCCTGAGAGGACCTGCGGGTTGGGAGAGGGCAGAGGAGAGGAAGCAGGGACATGAGTCCGGGAAGGTGGAGAGGAGACAGTGAGGAAGGACCAGTGATGAGAGTGTTACACAGCGGGCAAGGGGAGAGGCAAACAGTGATGGCATGGAGGGAACCAGGCAAGGTTGAGGAAGGGAGTGGAGTGAGAAAGCAGGTAGGGGAAGGCAGAGAGCATGCTCGGGTCTTCAGGAGCCTCAGGGCTCCTGGGAAAACAGCACCTGTGGAACACCTTACCCTACCCTGCCTCCTCCAGGACCCACTGCGAAGGGCAGCTCTGCAGACCTTCGGGCTCCCATGTCCCTGTCTGCAGCTTGAGACCCCAGTACACGAAGGAGTGACTCCCAGCTCTGCATCAAGCAGGGCTGGGCCCAGCGAATGGGGGAAGTATGGGTGGTGGGCATGGCCCTAAAAATGCACGTGTCCGGGGAGGAACCCACCCTAGAAAGCTCAGTGGTGTTGGAATGATCCAGTCCTACCTCCCCTAGTTCCTGAGAGTGAGTGTATGTACACGGGCAGAGGCATGCATCTATGTGACTCTTTATGGATATATATTGTGCAAAAACATGCGTGTGTTTATGTATACATATGTGTGCATATTTAGTAATTCCTTCAGTAAACATTTACTGAGCATGTATTGCATGTCAGGCACTGTGAGAAGTAATGGACATAAGAGTGAGCAAAAGAGCCACGCTTTTTGTCCTCATGGGGCTAACAATCTGGCATATTTGTGATGCATATGTGTCTGAGTGTGTGTATTTAGAAGCGTATTCATGCCTGCATGTATTTATATATACATGTATATATCGATTCCTGGTACCAGGAAAAAAAACAAAAAAAACAAGAAAACAAACAAAAATATATATATATACATGTATATGTCGATTCCTGGTACCAGGAAAAAAAACAAAAAAAACAAGAAAACAAACAAAAATATATATATATACATGTATATGTCTTTTTTTTCTTTTGGTTTTTTTCCAGTACCGGGAATCGAACTCATGACCTCGAGCTTGCCAGGCAGGCGCTGTGCTGCTGAGCTAAATCCCCAGCGTCCAAATATTTTGATATTTATTTTCTTTCTTTTTTTTTTTTTTTCCAGTACCGGGAACCAAACTCACGACCTCAAGCTTGCCAGGCAGGCACTGTGCTGCTGAGTTAAATCCCCAGCTCCCCCATGTATATGTCTTTATATGAGTATGTAGAACTTTTTAAAAGAAAAAGACAAATGATAGCCAAGACTCCAAGTAAGAAATGCAGCACGGACCCTCTGACTTTTCATAGGCAAGGTGAATGGATCTGAAAACGTCAGATTGACCAGAGGATTCTAAGGAGGTGGAACCCACAGGCCAGGGCAGCCGGAATCTATCCAAGAAGCAGAGGCCTAGGACACAAGTTCGAAGGCTGAGAAATTCCAGCTATGAGCACCCCCACCCTACCCTACCCCATACCATACCATCCCCAGCCTCAACCCTAGCCCTAGCAGAAGCCTCACCGGGTCTACAGCCAGCCGGTTGGGGATGGTGGGCGTCTGCTGGTCAATACACACCACTTTCTTCATGTCTTCAAAGCTGGGGTCATTGGGCACCACGTCATAGAAGGGTGGCCTGTAGTCCTCCACAATACCTGGAAATTGAGAGGGGATGAGACAATCACTGAGGACCACATATTATCTAAAGGACAGCTTTGCACAGCCTCTGTCCTAGAGTCAGAAAACTAGTTGTCTGGGGACAATGCCCGTGAGAAGAATATTACAATAAATATATGTACGTATTACTATTAGTAATTACTACCTTTGTTTTACACTTCTCAGGAGCCAATGACTGTGCATTGTCCTGTTGACACATTGTCCTGACCGTTAGTCCTCACAACCACCCTGTGAAATGGGTACTATTATTACCACCACGTTAGAGACCATGAAACTGATGCTCAGAGACGCTGAGTCCAAGGTTACACAGCCAGTACGGCACAGTCCAGTCTCCAGCCTATGCCATGGATTCCGATGCTGGCTCTTGTTCCAGCCTTTCCCCAGCGGGCCTCTCCCCAGGCTCAGGTACTACTCCTTGTCTCTGACTGTCACTGATGCCCCCACACGTAATCTTCACTGAACACTTACTGTGTGCTCACCACTGTCTTTATTTTTATTTTTTATTTTTTGCTTTTTTTTTTTTTTTTTCTGCTTTTCTTCCGGTATCAGGAATCGAACTCATGACCTTGCAGTTGCCAGGCAGGCGCTGTGCCGCTGAGCTAAATCCCCAGCCCCCCTCACCACTGTCTTAAAGGCTCAGCTTTAAATCCTCACAACCGCCAAAAGAGGTACGCGGTACTCATAGCTCCACTTCACAAACCAAGAAATTATGGCCAGCGAGTTTAAGAAATTTGTCTAAGATCAAATCTGTCTAAGATCATTACAGGTACTAAATGACAGAGTTAGGATTTAAACCTAAAAATCTAATACCAGAGCCCTGCTCCCAAGCTCCAAGCTGCACTTAAGGGAGGGCAGCTAATCGCTAGATGAGAACTGCAATAAGGACAAGAAGACACCTCTCCAATAAAGACAAGAAAGCAAAAAAGAAAGAAAGAAAGACAAGATACCTCTCCAAAGAGAAGGGAATTTTTACCCTGGTCCAAATAACATCCACCAGGGAAGGCCCAGGCCGCCGCTGATAGTCAAGGCCAGCAGCACCCCACCCTGCCCCATGTCACCCCACACTCGAGTCCTGAGGAGCTTTCTGAAAACTGGGCCTGTGGAGCTGCAGCAGCCCCATGCCCATCCCGCTGCCCAGGCCTAGGCTGGGGGGCTGTGGCCATGCAGGCCACAACCTCAGTGGAGCCTTCGCCAGCTGCTCTCCCTGTGGCAGGCTTCCAAGCCGCCCCTGTGCAGCTCGTCCCTAATCAGCGCTGCGCAGAGGCTTGAGCGTGTCTAATGAGCCTTTAATCAGTGCCGGGGCTGACACCAGATTACAGTGTTTATAATGCGCTTCGAATCTGTGTGGGGTGACAGAGCTTCCCTCTCAGCCCAGCAGCCTCCCTCCCAGCCCTTCCTTTTCAGCTCCCAGCGTTGGCCCACAGGCTGTGGCTATGTCTTTGTGCCGTGTCCTCCAGCTCCAGCCTCCTCCAGCCCACTCTGGCTGTCAGGCCCCGGATTGGAAGCCCCCGCGGAGTCTCCCCAGGGACTGGCGACACCCTGGTCTCTGCTCTCAGTGCATGATCAGTGAGGGCAATTGAAGTCTGGCAAGAGGCTGGCAACCAGTAGAAGCTCAAGAATAAACACATCCCTGTTCTGAAGGAGCAGAGCTCCAGTCAGGTGCTGAAGATTGTCCTCAACCTGCCGGGACTGCTGCTGGCAGCTGCTGCCTGTGGACAGCCTCCACAAAGGCTAACAATGCTCCCGCCACTGCCGACAACCTGTCATCCTCCCTCCACCCCAGGCCTGGACATCACTGGCCACAGGGCTGCCTGGGGCAGGTATCTCCCCCTGCTCCCAGTCCCTCCAAATCAGAGTTCTCTGTGGTAAGCCACAGTCGTAAGGAGGCCACATAAGCAAGCGCAGTGGCGGTGACAGCCTGCGGCAGTGATAGCCTGCATTTCTGTGGATGAGGAAATCAAGGACCACAGAGGTTCAGGTGTCACAGCGATAAAGATCCCTGGCCCCGGAGTCGGAATGCCTGGTTTTGGACCTGAGGCTGCTTGCAGCCTGCCCTAATTCTGCACCTCCGTTTCATCTATAAAATGGGGATTTTAGAGATTCCCTTACTATGTAAGGCACATGTTCTGTTACAACAAAAATGGCCATGGATATTCAGTTCTAGATGTTGTCCCAAATATTTCACTTCTCAACAGACAAGCTATTTTTATTCTTATGTCACAAATGAGGAAACTGAAACAGAGAGGCCACAAAGACTTTCCACAGTCACAGCAAACTCTGGGACTGAACCCAGGCACTCTGATTCCACGCCTAGGCCTTAACCACTAAGCAAGATTACCTCCCCGTCAGTACGGGAGAGTTAAATAAGATAATGCATATAGAGTAGACAGCATGGCATATATTTAATCTCAGTAACTGTTAGCTGTTAATATTTCTGTTATCACTAACCCAAGACTTCACAGCCAGATTCATAGACCAGATGAACCTTCAAAGGTCACTCAGCTGAGCCAGTTGGTGAGTGGCGGTGAAGGGGTGCCAGGAGATCTGCTCACAAGTCCCTCAGGCCATGAGCACCAGCCACGGCAGGAAGTACCACCTCCACCCCCCCACAGTGCGCAGTGGGGCCTCACCGTTGACAATGGTCCGCCGAGTGATCTCCCACAGCACCAGGCCAAAGGCCCAGATGTCGGTCCACTTGTAGGACTCAAAGCAGTCGGTGCGGATCTGCTCATCCAGCACCTCGGGAGCCATGTACCGCTTGGTGCCCACTCTCGGGTTGTTGCCGATGTCCAGGTAATCGCTACCCTGGGAGTGCATCACAGCCAGGCCTGTGGGTATGAGGCCTGTCACTCCCGCCACTCACCCTGGCCCGCACCCGGGCTGCCTCTGGGTGGGGATGGATAGTGACAGTGAGGCACAGAGGGGCAGGCAAAGGGAGATCAGCCCTGAGACGACCTGGAATAACTGTCCCAGTTACGCTTTGTGTGTGGTTCCTAGGAGCCTAGCAAGATGTTTAATATGCAAGGCAGGCTTTATTGTGCCCATTTCACAGAGCAGAACCTGTAGGCCTGGGGAGGGCAACAATGTATGCAGTGAAGCCAGAATGAGAACCTAGATTCCTGGTTCTCTGTCGCTTGTGTGAGTGGTGGAAGGAATCTGGGCTTGGGACGGGTGTTAAAATAACTTGGGGGACTTGTGGAACTGAAGTGAAACAAAACACCTTTCCAAGTTTTTAAAGCACAACTATGGCCACCCACTCCCACCGAAAAGAGGTAGAGAGGCAGAGCTCAAAAACCACGCCCACCCGCAAAGGCCCCACCCACTTGCCTCACCCCTGCGCAGCTCACCCAGGTCTGCGATGCAGCACTGAAGGTTGCTCTTGACCAGCACGTTGCGGCTCTTGAGGTCGCGGTGGGCGATGGCCGGCTTGCCCTGCGTACCAAAGATCTCCATGTGCAGGTGTGCCAGGCCGCACGCTGCGGACACAGCCAGCTTGAGGGCCAGCTGGGGCTCCAGCGTCTGCCTCTGCAGGAAGTCATAGAGGGAGCCGTGCTCATGGTAGTGCGTGATGAGCCACAGCTGCGTGCTGGAGTTGCGGGAGGTCATATCTGAGGCGATGAAGCCTGCGCGAGGAAGGGGCAGGGTAGCTCAGCCGCGCGGCTGGGGAGGAGGAAAGCTGGACTGGCTAGGGGCAGGGTAGGTCAGGGGGGCAGGGAGTGGCTGGGGGCAGGGTAAAGGTGGGATTTCGGGGGAGGTTGATTTAATTTAGGATTTAGGTCAGAAACTGGAGCTAGAGTCAGGTGGGCTGGGAGTCCTTCAGATCAGGGCAATGTCCAGAGGCCTGTAGACCACCACCCAGGGGTAGGGGGAGAAGACGCCCAGCCCGTCACTGGGTCTGTCTCCCTTGCCTAGGATGTTGTCGTGTCTGAGCAGCACTGTATTGTAGATCTCCGTCTCCCGGAACCAGGACTGCTCGTCCCTCGAGGAGAAGATCTTGACAGCCACACTCTCCCCGTGCCACAAGCCCCGCCACACCTCGCCATAGCGGCCCTTTCCTGATCCAGTGGCCAGAAAGGAGGGCAAGGGTTAAACACTGGGCACAGAGAGTCCTAGAAGAGTCCCCTGCCCATCCTGATGCTATGCAGAACCCTCTTGCAGAACCTCTGAGTTTACATGTAATTTAATCCCGGCCCAAACCCAGCTACAGGCCGCCCCCACTAACGCAGAAGGACCCCACTCAGGCCCAGTTCCAGTCAGTTCCTGGCCCAGAGAAGTCTCATTCTGACCCAGGCCCGGCCCCGCGGGTGTCTCTGGAAGCCAAGAGCCCCCTCATCCCTCCAGGTTTGTGGGAGCCCTTAGCCCCCACCCCCTGGCCTCACCCACTGCTCACCCACACACTCCATCAGGGTGACCTGCCGCGCCACTGTCCTCTGCACCAGGAAGGGGAGCCCTGAGCCACTGCCTGTGGTGCAGTTGCTATCCAGGAATTCCTGAGGATACCAAGAAGCCCCTGAGAGGCTGCCCCCACCAGCTGTGGCCCCTATTGCCCACACCTGCATCCTGCTGCTGTGTCTCTGTGTGGCCCCCCTCGCCCAGCTCCCAGCCAGCTATGATCTCTGGGTGACCCCCTCTGACTCTGTGGCTCCTGTATCCCCACCCTCTGCCCTCAGTTCCAAATTCCCCCAGACCCGTACCCCCAACATGCTGTCCCTCTGCTCGGGTGATTTCAGGATGAGGCTGGACTCGCCCAGGTCACTGTACAGGCCTCGCTGCTTCTCCTGCCTCCGCCGGACATGCCACAGGCCCAGGGCACCCAAGGCCACCAGCACTAGCAAGGCCAGCACAGGGCCCAGGATCAGAGGCAGCTGGCAATCTACTTTTGGCTGCTCCGGAGGAGTCTGGGTAGCTGGAGGAGGAGTACACTGAGTCCCAGCTTCCACCAGGTCAGCTGCCCTGCCCTTGGGCAGGACCACTCTGGCAGTCAGATCCCAGCCTTCTGGCCCCCACCCCCGCCCCTCACCCCCCAGAGCACAAAAGAAAAGCAGGGTTGGGGTGGGGCCTGAAGCTGGAGAGGCGCTGCTGGGGGTGCTGGACCTACTCTCCAGCGACAGGGACACGTTGTTGTTGCAGAAGGACTGGTAGCAGCAGAAATGGTGGGCGAACTCGGTGGCACGCCCCCTGCAGAGCTCCTCGTTCTGGCTCCCACAGCCCTGGAACTGCTGGCGGTGACCTTCCTCGTCCAGAAACAGCACCGCTGTGCACCAGAGCCCCTGGCAGGTGGTCCCCTTGCAGTGTGGGTTCTGACATGTGCAGGTCACCAGTGAGGACTGAAGGGGCTCCACAGGGTTCCCTGGGAGACACAACAGAGGCTCAGCCACTCAGCACAGCTGCCCCCAGGAGAGCTCAACACTTGCTTCTGCCCCACTGACCCCTCCCTGTCATCCCTCGAACAAACCCTTGGGGCCTTCGTCCTTTACTTCCATCCCCTGGTCATCCTTCCCTCAGAGCCCTACCCCCAGTCAGGGCAGGAAAGCTTCCACGCCCTGCCCGATCCCAGGACCTCTTCTCCCAGGGCCAGGCCCGCCCTGGCCTCCAGCTCTGAGTGCTTTCTCAGGCTTTCCCCATCAACATTCCCACTCCCTCCACCTCATCTATAAGCTGGACATGGTTCCCACCCTGGGGTCTGACAGAGCTCCAGCCTGAAGGTGGGTATCGAACGGACAAACAGCCAAGGATGGGGTGGCTGAGCCTCACTGAGCCCTTTCCGTGCCTACCTTCAGCCAAGCTCCCATCTCCTGTCCCTAACCCTTCAGACTCCGTCCAGCAAGAAGGGACCTGGGCTGAGCCCTCGGCCCCAGCTGTTCTCCCCATACTCACCCTGGGTCAGGCCCAAAGCCATCAGCAGCATCAGCAGGCCCCTTTTGGGCTGCGCCAAGGTCATTGTCCCTGGAGAGGCGAGGCGAGGTTAAGTTCTGCAAGATGTGACAGCTGCTAGCCTCAGCTCTCTCCTACCAGGAGGAAATCACTGGGAGTTTTTTTTTTTGGTGGGGGGAGCAGGGAGGCAACCTCTCTACTCCTGCGTCTGGCTTTGGGGCGGGGCCTGCAAGGGAAGTCCTGATTCACTTCCCTATGGAAACCATCCTGTTAGGGGTGAGGGTGGCGAGCCATGTCTGAGTGACTGGGCACCCCTCGGCTGATCTCAGGCTGGAGGTGGGCTGGGTGGGCCAAAGCTGGGGCGCCAGCAGCAGCTCTTCAGCAGTGCCCGATGTCCTCTGCCTCCTGCTCACCCCCTCTCCACCTCCACCCTGCCCACCCCTTTCCCAGTGCCCCCCCAGCCCTGGCTGCCTCAAACATAAACAGGCTCCTGTCTTTACTTCCTGCCATTCAGGGTCCCGCCAAGCCAGGAACAGGAATCAAGATTGTTTAGATTGAGGTCTGGATAGAACAGGCAGGAGTCACGCAAAGGAGAGACCTGAGGGCAGATTGTCAGGGCAGGTAGGGCAGCTGCAGGCCTGGAGGAGCCACCTGGAGCTGAGACACCTGCATGACAGGGTCCTGGGCGGACACCTGGGGAATCACAAAGTGCAGCTCCTGATGTTAGAGATGGGACTAAGGCTCGTAGAGGGGAGGGGGCTTGCCCAGCGGCAGACGTGTGTCGACTGCTAGTCCAGTAACAACCATGTAATAAGTGTGCAAAGCATGGACAGTGCTGGGTCATGCCAGGCATCAAGGAACCTCTCTCCACCTCACTTGAGTAAAAGGGGCCTCTCAGAGCTATTCCCTGGCCCCCTTTTCCCTCACTGCTGTTCAGGGAAAGGGCTGGGGGAGGGCCGGTGATGTGGGAGAGGAAGTGAAACACACTTAGACACTGAATGTTTGACCTCGCATGGCTGGCAGGGTGAGACTTGGCCAGAAATTTGACGGAGAGGGTTAAGGGGAGTTAATTCTCATCCATGACAGTCCCCGACTCAGGTCTCAAACCAGCGAGTGCTCAGAAGCCGCCCCCCTCTTCACTTCTCAAAGCTTTAGAACGAGGAGCGTGGGTCAGGGGTATACTGCTCACCTAGCGTGTGTGAGGTCCAGCCCCAGTACCCCTTCCCCAAAACAAAGGAGGAGGGTGGGCAGACAGCAAGGAGGACTTTCTGAATGGCCAAGAGCATGCAGGTGGGTATCTGGGACTGCAGCCTCAGCCAGGGTGGCTAATATGAGAGAAAGATGGCCTTTGGCCTGACAGGCAAGGCTGATAGGGTCAGGTATGTGGCTGCATAAGCTGCAGAGGTCCCACTGCATCACAGTCGTGCCAAATGGCGACCCAAGATTCTGGGACTGTGAGGACGGGGTGGCTGGGGGCAGGGTGGGGATCTTCATGGGCCTCTGCCTCATGGCAGCTCTGGTCTTCCTGCCTGGGCTTCCTCTGCCCTAGAGGCCCAGGCTGGGGGAGGAAACAGAGCCCTGGGCTGATGCAGCTATGTCCCCAGCCTCTGCTTGACCTCCTGCCTCTTGGCCCTCCTGGTAGCCAGTGAGGACTCTGGCAAGCGCTCTGCAGTGGGGGCCGGAAGCTGGATGGAGAGAGAACCCCAGGTGAGCTGAATGTACCTACTGGGGAGCAGGCAGAAAGCCAACCCTGGCAACCTTCATCTGCCCAGACAGTGGCTAAGAAGAGGATACGAGGCGGGAAGGAAAAAGTGGCTAACGTCAAGGATGACATCTGGCATCCTTCTAGGGTCTTCTGCTGAGCTTCCACTTCCCTGTCGCCTCCCAGTCCACCCACTCCCCTCTGTCACATCAGAGTCCCCTGCAGTGGGTTAGAAATGCACATCCTTCAGGTTCACCCCCACTCCGCATTCTGATTCAGTCTACCTGGGACGAGCAAGACACATGCATTTTTAAAACTTTCTCCAGGCCTGGGGATATAGCTCAGTGGCATAAGCGCCTGCCTGATAAGCACAAGGCACCAAAAATAAAAAATAAAATAGTAAAATAAAAAAAATAAAACCTTCTCCAGGGAATTGTGATTAGTGTGTGCAGGCACTTGGAGAACTGCGTCCTCCACACACCTAGCACTAGGTCCTGCACTTCTGCCTTGCTGGGCAGGGCCCTGCTGGTGAGAATGGGCCACAGAGGAAAGGGAACCCGACTCCCACTGCCACAGGAGACTTGGTGACACTGTGAAGCGAGGGTGGAGCTGAGGACTTTGTTCCAGACATCGGCGGGGCAGGGAAGAGCGGGCAGCATTTGTAGGACTCACTTCTGGCCTAATAATCCTGGAAAAATTGGGACTGTCCAATGTCTAACTGAGCCTTTGTGAGATTTGGTATAGAAGGGGTGCTGGCCAGTTATAGAGCTGACTTCACACGATTCACCCTGAAATTTGACTGTAGCACAAATAGACACCTGCAGCCTAGCAGTATCCTTTCGCCTCTAAGCCAGACTTTGAGAAAGATCTCCTGTAGACAGAAGCATCACTGTTGCTAGCCAGAAATCACAAATGTTAAAATTAATTTCAAACATTATCTTAGCACTGTGAAATGATAACAGTAGCTAACCTGCTCCTTGTACTAATTATGGTTCATCTCATCTAATTTTCACAACAGTCCAGGGAGGAAGCCAGGACTCAGGATGGTAAGTTTCTTGCCCAGAGTCACTAAATATGCCTTGATAAACTTAAGTTGCTGATAAGAAATTCTCTTTGTGGGCCAGGGATATGGCTCAGTGGCATAAGTGCCTGTCTGGCAAGCACAAGGTTCTGAGTTCAACTCCCAGTACAAAAAAAAAAATCCTCTTTGTCTTTGTTATTCTTCTAGTTGTTTGGAGTTAGATGAGTCCTCAAAGGAGGAAAAAAAACTGTATCAGTTTCAGCAGACCTTAACAAAGGGCCCACTGCTGTTGTCGCCAGTGGGTTCCCTACTCTGATTTAGTAGTAAGGACAATGTCACAACCCAGAAACTGTGCTGGAGGCTTAGTCAGCGTTTGGGCCTCAGGTGGCGGGAGGCAGAGTAGGTGTGTGTCTGGAAGGTGGCTGTCAATTTTTTTCTCCCTGTTACACCTGAGGGACTGATAAAACCCACGCCCATCGGCACTCAGCACAGCATTGCTTGTTACCGGGCAACAAAAGCGCTGTGTCAAAAGCAACCATCTTTTTTATTTTTTTCTCCTTTTTTTGTACTCAAGATTGAGCCGAGGGCCTCTTGTATGCTAAGTGAGTGCCCTACCACTGAGCTACACCCCCAGCCCAAACATAACGGTTTTGCCTCGCTTTGTACTTCCCAAGGTCATACTCCAATAGCACCAGACCAAGCTGTTCATATGGGGTTGCCTTTACGATTCAGTCACACCAGTTTATTAGCCCTTTACAACCATGTACTGTAGCAGAACAAGCTTGAATGTTAGAGTCATAGGCAGAGGATGGAGATAGCACAGCACAGTTCTCCCTTGTCTGAGGGGAAGATGTTCCAAGATCCCCAGTGGATAACTGAAACTGTGGATATAGTAGCAAACCCTATATTTGCTATGCCTCTTTCCTATACATACACACCTATAATAAAGTTGCTCATATCTATTTTAGTTTAATTTAAACCAAACTATTTCATTTTAAATCAGGCAGAGCAGCGCCGGGTGTGGTGGGACATGCCTCTAACCCCAGCACTCAGGAGGCTGAGGCAAGAGGATCATTGCAAGTTCGAGATCAGCCTGGGCTACAAAGTGAGCTCAAGGCCAGCCTGAACTGCATAGAGACCCTGTCTCAAAAAGACAAAATAAATAAATAAACAAATTAGTTAGAGCAAAGCCAGGTGTGGTGCCTCACTCCTGTAATCCCAGCCACTTGGGAAACTGAAGCAGAAGGATCGGCTGAGTTCCAGGCCAACCTGGGCTACAAAGTGAGACCCTGTCTCAATAAATAAATGAATAAACAAATAAGAGCAAGAGATTACCAATAATTAGTAATACACCATAACAATTATACTGTAATAAAAACTTTTACTTTCACCTTTTAGTTAAAGGAGGTACTGTGCAGCTTCTCTATCCAAATCAGCAGCATCACTTCTCTTGCACTTTGGGGTGATTATTAAGTAAAATAATGGGTATTTGAGCACCAGTACTGCAAAATCTCTGCAGTCAATCTGATTATTAAGATAGCAGCTACTACGTGACGAATGAGTAGTGTCGTTTCTACAGCATAGATACTGGGCAAAGGACGATTCATGTCCAGATGGGATGGAATGTAACCACGCAAGGTTTCACCACACTAATCACGACAGTGCACAATTTAAAACTTATACATTTTTTACTTCTGAACATTTGCTTTTATTTTATTGAATCCAAAAGATGTAGTGCTTTATCACTGCACTACATCTTTTTCTTGTCATTGTTGTTTTATTTTGAGATAGGTCTAGTTAAATTACTCAGCCTGGTCTTGAATTTGTGATCCTCCTGCCTTGGTCTCCTGAGCGACTAGAATTACAAGACTGTGCCATCATGCCCGTTTTTTCCTTTTTTTTTCCTTGTCTTTCTGAGACAGGGTCTCGCTATGCAGTTCAGGCTGGCTTTGAGCTCGCTTTGTAGCCCAGGCTGGTCTCACACTCACAATGATCCTCCTGCCTCAGCCTCCCAAGTGCTGGGATTACAGTTATGCGCCACCATGCCCAGCTTCCACTTAATATTTCCACACCACAGTTGACTGCAGATAATGGGAACCTTAGAAAGCAAAACTGCAGATAAACAAGAAGCACATAAGGAGAAAGATTACTATACAGCATAAGATCAAGGTTGAGCTCTGGATCACTGCGATCTGGGTTCAAATCTTGCCTCTGTGATTTAAAGCTATGAGACTGGGGTAAGTTACTGAACTTTCTGTGCTTAGGCTTTTTATATGTAAGTAAGAATAACAGTAGTGTTTATTTCATAGGTGTAATGTAGTAGAGATTACTTAGCAGAATACTAATTAGTACACAATAGCACTTAATAAATGTTACCACTGCCCTAAACACGCTATTGACATCATTTAAGGAGCTTTGGACGAGTTATTCAGGTCTGAACTTGTTTTCTCTCTTATAGGATGAGCATAATAACCCCTGTGCTGCTCAGTTGTGACCAAGATTACATGAGAAAAATATCTAAGTGTCTACATAATAAGCACTCAAAAAAGGGTAGCCATTTTAATTAACAACCCAGTGACAAAGAAGACAGGTTGGGGGACAGGTACCAGGACAAATGGATCAATGAGAAATCTCAACTCAGCCGGGACCTGCCCCCAGTGGGTGAGGGCTACTACTGCCCACTCTGGACCTATCCTTGAGGAAGAAAAAAGGTGCT